AGATCTGTTAATAAGAAAGAAAGAAAGAAAGACCTTCTAAAATGGGATTGATCAGAACTTTGAACCTCAGTAACTCTAGCCTGATGAAAAGGTGATGAGATGAAGCGTTTCATATCGCACCCGCCATTAGGTGTTCCTTTGTTGACGGAGAACATCAAACCAGTAATTAGTTCACGATGACGTGACGTTTCTGTATATGTCTAATTGGGCAAATTAGCAGTTTCATTAGCATCCATTGGAGTGTGGTGTCATTTGTCATCTTTATGCAGTACATTTTACGTAAAGACTGTGGTCTTTATAATTATTATGAAGTAATTACTCCTTGAAATCAATGTGAGATGAAGTGATTACTCTTTAAAATTAATACGAAACGAAGTAATTCTTAGAATTAATACGAAACAAATTAATTAGTCCTTAAAATTTATTTAAGATGTTAATTTCATATCAATCCTTAAAATTAGTATGAAATATTATTTTCATATTATTTCTTAAAATTAGTACGAAGTATTATTTCCATATTAATCCTTGAAATTAATGTAAAATGAAGTAATCACTCCTTAAAATTAATATGGAATGAAGTAATAAATTATGTGCAAAGCTATAGTATTTTTTCTTCTTTTTGTGACATTTCGATATCATTATGCTGAGGATATTTCTTCTATGAGGGTTAAGATATAGACAGTCTGTCAGATTCGTGCAAATTTCACGCATCAGCATAAGCTTCACACTACTTGGATTGTTTTCGTTTATTCAAATCATACAATTATAATCGATGGCGCGTAATACATTCTCAAAGACTGATTCTGAGGACATGACACAAATAACTGCGGCATTCAAAGCTTGACTGGAAACCTTGGTGGATGTTCCATCAGTCGATTTTTTCGGATATAGATTTACTTTCAATTATAATTAATTTCTCTGCATTAAATAATTGTAAGGCAAGTTTGGATGAACGATGAACGATCAAACAGACTGGAACGAAACGATTCGAATGCGACAAATTGGTAGGTATTGTGTAGTCTGTTTTACATTCAATCCACTATCTGCCACTTTTTGGAATTTTGAGCTGAAATGCTTGAACACGGAAATATCGTCACATATGCATTAGAATGCTTGTGACGCAACAGATTTTCAATCGCAAGCGAAATATAATCGTTTTGATTGATGTCTAATTCATACTTATGATATTAGTCATTAATCCGTAAACTTTAACTTGAACGCTCCGTATATAGTGTCATGAAAATGAGTGACCGTGATAATTTACACGAAGCAAGCAATCATTTGTGGCGAGAAACACTTTTTTCAGTGTTGTAATTTCCATTCGGTCTTTTTTCAGCTTCTTTGAAACAATTGTTAAATCTCAATCAACCGTTGCCAACGTCGATGGCTGTGGAACCGGTCTGGAAAATACTTATTTTAGATCGTTACGGGCAGGATATCATATCTCCGTTGCTAACGATCAAACAACTGAGGGACCTGGGAATCACTTTGCACTTGTAATTCATTGTTGTAATTTATTAATTGTTTGTGGTTATTAATCGTAAACAGATGTCGCTTACGACCGAATCAAATCTTATCCTCTTCCTTCGGTGCAGACATTTTTCAACTTAGCATCAAGTGACTTGTTTTGCTAGAAATTTCTGTTTATGACTTAATTATGTGATAAGCTTTTGCAGACTTCTCAACAGCCATCGTGAAATCTTGCCCGATGTGCCTGCTGTATATTTCGTTTCACCCACCGACGAAAACATTAAAATAATTTGTGATGACCTCAACAAAGTACGTAAAGAGATGTTTAGTGTTTTGGGCTTCAGATTTTAATGTAACATTATTATGACTGATTTTTAGATTACTCAAATTCTAAATTTCGATGTATGTTTTTTAATAGGAAGAATGAATTGCGATTGCTCTGACTTTGCTTTGTAATTTTTTTAGTGTGTTTTAGATTTTAATGACCATGGAATACGGCTATTTGTGTCAGTGTCACAGAAACATTTTTTGATTGCTACTCTTTATTGATAATGTAGACAATATTT